TATTATTATTAATTATTTGGACCATATATTACTATGAGCCTTACTTGTTTTTTTTTTTTTTTTTATTATTTCTTTTTTAAATGAAATTTTTATTTATTTTATTTCTTTGTTTTTATCTTTATTTAATTTTTCAAGCGCTAAATGTATTGGCGGAGATGAAATTTTGGGTCAAAGCCATCACAGACGATAATGTTCAAGAGCAACTTCTTGTGAATGCAAGTAATTCCAATGAACTTGCGAGAGAATTGAGTGCCCTTCTTCACACACATGTGACTAGGATGTCTGTGACGGATTTCCAATCTCAGGTTCTGGATAAGATTAGCAGTGGAGCGGATATTATTACAGTTAAAATATTTACAGCCAAAACAACAGGACAACCTTCAGAGATGGATGGTAGTTTTACACAATTCGATGTACGTACTCAACGTGGTACACCCGCACAATCCGATATTTTCCAAATGTCTTATAGAGATGAGGAAGATTGGATAGGATCCTCACGTAGTCCTAGCATAACAGATTCAGTTCCACGTGTGCGTCCAAGTATATCATGTCGATTAACATTAGATGTACCTTCTATTGATCGTATTTGTTTATGGCGTGATGATATTGAATTATTATTAAATGAATCTCATGGAGGGGCTTATCATGATGTAGTTCGTGGTTGTTTTGCACGTATTCGTGAAAAACACAATTATAATCTTTATCAAATTGTAAAACCAGTAAATAATGTGGAGTTATTATTAGACTTCATTTATTACGAAGAAATACGACGTACAGAAGTTGTAAGTAATGCAGTTCCTGTTCAACAGGAAATAAATGCTTGGGGTAAAAAAATGATAACAGCTTCAAGACCATTTGTAACTATTGGGTTTATCGCCGCAAAGGTAGGAGATATTGATTCAGCAATACGATCTGCAAAAGCGGCAACAGAGGAAATATCTATACAAACATTAGCTGCAGCCCCACCACCAACACCACCTGCAAATAGAATAGGTAAATATGGACGAAGAGGTAGAAATACTATTATTTCTCAACCTCGTGTTTTTTCTTATGTTTCTCAAGGTCCAATACTTTTAAAAACAAATGATACACTTTTACATGCTCAGTTAAGTGTTGTGGAAGAACCTGAAAAATCTGATTTTGAGTTTGTTCTCTTTGCAACTCGTCATGCTAATAGTACTAAAAAGAAACCTCGTTTATCAGATTTTTCAGGTTGTATGATTACTTTACCTAAAGAACATTTTTCAGGAGTTGTAAAAGATAGAGATGTAACAGAGAAAGGGTATGAAATCTTCTGTTCACCACAGCGATGGGATTGTCATTATGTAAGTTTAGGTCAAATTAGACCTTCTGTAGATGATACACCTTATTATGATGATGCTAATAATTTACAACAAGATTTTACTTTACTTTCTGGAAGATTTATGACAGGATTATTTGATACACCAATAGTTATTACATTACCTATTCCTCTTTGGGCTCAGGTAGAAGGATATTCTGCTTATATTCTTCGTCCTCATTTGGTAGTTCATAAAGATAAACTTCATGTTTTTTATCTTATTCGAACCTCAGAAGTTCATTCATCACCTCGTTCAAGTGTATCTCATGGAAATATGATAGATGCAAATAATTCTCTTCTTTGTAATGCTGGTTCTCCTGGTAATACCAGTACTGAAAATAAAGTATTACCACCAGAAGGATCTAAAGCATCTCCAGGATGTAATTCTCATAACGGTAGTTTTCATAGTGCACCAATAACAGATATTTATCATTATGGACTTGCTCATGCTGTTTCTTGTGATCCTAAAATGCGTACATGGCAAATCATATCTGAAAAAACTCCTTTACTTTCATGTTCTTGTACTATTCCAGTATTTACAGTAGCTTCTACTTCTCCATGTGATGCTATGCGGGATGTTAGTATTAATGTTGGAGCTGGTGTATCTTCTTCTGCTTCTTCCTCAGAAAAAGTACTACAAATACTTTGGTATGAAGAAGAAAGTCCTTTACAACGTTCAAATATCTCACTTCGTCCTTCTCCATGTTCAATAATGTCGTTAAGCACTAGTTTGAGCAATCGTGTTGCCTTACCATTTGAGCGTTGGGTGAATTCACATGAAGATACACTATCAGATGCTTGGGTACGTGAACCCAGTTTCTCTACTGTTCGTATAGACGCAGATTCGGCAAAATCAGGTGTGGCTTCTCTCTCATTATGTGAACATGATGGTGTTGTCATGGCGGCTTGGGTGCAGATGGATACACACTCACGATCTACATTGACGGTGGTGCCTTTGACTTCCGAACCATAGTCTTTTGTTCTTTCTTCTTCTTTTCTTTTCTTTTCTTTTCTTTTTTCTTATCTTATCTACGGTGGCTCTGTTTTTTTTTTTGTTGTTTTGTTTTGTTTCTTTCTCTGTCTGTGTGTGTTTGTTTGTTTTCCTTTTTTTTTCCCCTGTACTCTATGTGTGTGTGTATGTTTACGTATATTGGGGCATGTTGATTATCTCTGAGATTATGGATCTTGAAAAGAAAAAAAAATAAAGAAAGAAAAAAAGAAAAGAACAAAATGAAGTGGGTGAAAGGGGAAACTTTGAAAACGAATATACGGTGTACGAAATGAGAACGAAAAAAAAAAAAAGGGAACGATATGAGAATGTGAGAGAAATTATCTTGGAAGTGTTTTTTTTTTTATTTTGCTTTTTTTTTTTTTAATCCTTTTCGTTTTTTTCTCTGCAGCATTTCTTTTGTATTTTTTTTTTTTTTTCTGTATTTCGTTTGGAAACCATGTAGGTGAAGGTCCATTTGATCTCTTACCAAATACTTTTCATTTTCTTACTCTCTCTCTCTCTCTTCCTGTGTGTGTGTAAGTGTTTTCTTTGTTTTTCTGTTTTTTTTTCTTTCCTTCTCTTTGCTTCAATGGTGCATGCCCTCATGTATTCTCTCTGACCATCATCCTAATATATTCACTATCTCTCTTTCTTTCTCGCTCTCTGTGTATATATGTGTGTATAGTCTTTCCTTCTCCCTCTAATCCATATATACATATATACATACATCCATACATATAAATAAATAAAGTATTATTATTATTATTATTATTATTATTATTATTATTATTATTACTATTACTATTAATGGCGGAGTCTGTGGAGTCGCGGCTGGACGATGTGGACCGCGAGGTGTTGGGCGCCACTTACATTGTGGAGGCGCTGCTCGGCGAGGGAACGTACGGCGTCGTCTTTCGGGCCCGCAACGCCGTCACTGGGGCGATGTACGCCATTAAGAAGTTGAGGATCGACGGCCACAGCGAGGGCGTGCCGGCCACTACTCTGCGGGAAGTGACACTCCTGCACGATCTCCGTCATCATCCAAATGTGGTGCGGCTGTTGGAGGTGCTCTGCGGCCAACACCGTGTGTATTTGGTGTTTGAGTTGTTGGATGAGGATTTACGTTCATTCATTCGTCGATATCGACGCAGTAGATCCGGTAAGCAGACCGTGTCGGTGGTGCCATTACACATTGTGAAGGATTTCACCCGGCAAATGCTCCATGCCTTGTGGAGTTGTCATAATAATCGAATTATTCACAGAGACTTAAAACCGGGAAATACACTCATCTCCGCTCGCAAACAAAAGGATGGAGAGACGGAGGAATCTTATATATTAAAACTTGCGGATTTTGGTTTGGCAAGGACATTTGAAATGCCTCTACTCACATATACAAGAGAGGTGATGACACTGTGGTATCGTGCTCCAGAGATTCTTCTTGGGGAAAAACATTACACACCGGCGGTGGATGTTTGGTCGCTTGGTTGTATTGTAGCGGAAATGATTGTCGGCCATTCACTTTTTCAAGGATCTACAAATGTGGAACAATTGGATAAAATATTTTACGTTGTTGGTACACCAACTGAAGAAACATGGCAGGGATTAACATCACTTCCTGGATATGATAGTTCTTTTAAAGTCTATCGCGTAGCTCCTCTTCCAACACGACTGCCTGATTTTGATACAGCAGCAATAGAATTTGTTGCTTTTCTATTGCAGACAAACCCAAAGAGTCGACCAACAGTGACAGAGGTTCTTAAACATCCATTCCTTCAGGATGATTGAAATAGATTTGTTGCTTGAAGTATACAGCTTGTGTATATATATATAGGTTAAAAAAGAAAAAAAAAAAGCAACAAAATACGAATATATATATATATATATATATGTTGGAAGAAATCAATGAATCTACCATTCACATCGATTTTCTTTTTTTTTTTTCTTTTTTCATTGGAATCATTCTGGGTAGAGGCGTATGTGCTTTAATACTGGAGACAACGAGGGAAGAAGAGTAAGAGAAAAAACTGGTCAGTGAAAACAATGAGAGGAGAACAAAAAAGATATAGTCTTGTTTTCTTCCTTCTGTTTTCATTACTTCTTTTTTTTTCTTTTTTTTTTGTTGATGATTTGGCTGTGGCAACTGGTTCGTCTAATTTTATTTTTATTTTATTTTTGCTTGGAAGCTCCTTTTTCTTTTTTATTATTATTATTATTATTATTATTATTTACATTCTTTCTAACCTCATTTAGTGTACAATGTACATTTTCTTTTTTTCTCTTTGTTTTTTTTTTATTTTTTTATTTTGTTATGTTTTCTTTATTTTGATTTTATTATTTTATTATTTTTCTTTTTTTTTTTTTTTCACTGTTTCTTCCTTTTATTTCTTTCGTTTAACTATAATAAAGATGCAGCACGATGTGAAGGAGAATGAAAAGAAACAAACAGAATCACCCATAGAAAAAGAAGATGAGGTGTGTGGTATTTGCTTTACCGGCATTCACCCCAGTGATAACCCACGTGGTCGACTGAATTCGTGTAATCATATTTTCTGTGCTTATTGTATTAAAGAATGGGCACAAAGCACAAATGTCTGTCCACATTGCAAAGCCCGATTTACACGTATATTTGTATTAAACAACAATGGTGAGGAGGAAGTTACTAAAGTGCGTAAACGAAACTACAAACGATGGGAAGAAGATGATGAGGATGAAAATGAAGATGGTGAGAATGAAGAGGAGAACAGCGGGGAGGCATCTCATTCTCTGCTGGTTGCCTGTGATGTGTGTGGACAAGGGGATAATGCCTTTCGTATGATATTTTGTGATCGCCGACAATGTCAATACGCCGTGCATCTTGACTGTATTCATCTGAATGAGCGACCGGCGGAGTTTTACTGTTCTCAATGTGCACAACTGCGTGGATCTACTACAGCCACTACACCTATAGCTACAACTACCAATGATGAGGATATAGAGATAAGAGAGTCTATACAAGAGCAGGAGATGAGAGAAGGAAGAAATTTGAGTTCTGCGGTGGAAAGTCAAACAGATGCTGTTCCTCCATGTAAAACACCGTACAGTAAAGTATCGGTTGCACTTCCAACATTTCTACGACAGGCGATGGAACGTGGAATTCGAGGGCAAACAACCGTACCGCAACAAGGGGAATATCAAGATAAAGAAATCTCTTTAACTTCTTCTTCTTCTTCTCAAAATAGGGGAAGAGGAAGAGGAGGAGATCAGGAACTTCATATAATACAAGAAGATGATATGATTACTCGTTCTTCTCAAGCTGCTTTACAAGAGTATTTAAAACGTCAGGATAATCAAAATCATCAAATACGCCTTCAACAACAACAACAACATCATCATCATCATCATCATAATCGCCGTGGTGAAATACCACAAATTAGGGATATGTCTAAACGAGGAGTAGGCGTTGTGGGAATACAACCCTCTTTCAAACGACCCCGTAGTTATAACAATACTTCTGTTCATCACACCAGCGTGGATGGACTTTTAGATCCAACAACACGACGAAAGGAAGAAGATCGTCTTGCACGACAATTGGCTATTGAAATGTTACCTATTCTTAGGCGTAATCAACAAATTCAAGAAAGTCAATTACAGTTTGGTCGTAATGGTGATATTGTAGTTTCTGCTGTTCCTAATGGATCGGATGCTACTGTACGAGAAAGAGAACTCTATGTAAAAGCCATGACAGAAGCTCGACGAATGGCTCAACAACAAATTGAGGCTAAAGTAGTAAAGGCCCGAATGAGAATGGAACGTCAAGTTCGTATTCAAGCACAGAGAGAAGCTGCTGCATTGGCAAAACTGGCAAAGATTGTTGCATCTCACCGAGTCGCATCAAAACCAAACTAGGAAGAGAGAAAGAAAGAGAGAGATTTGTTTTCTTATATATATATATATATATGTCTTTATCTCTCTCGCATTCTGATTTTTTTTTTTTGTTGTTGTTGTTCCTTTTTACTATTATATTACTCGCTTTTTAATTCTATTCTTATAGGTATTCTCATTTCATTTAACCATTTTTTTTTATATATATGTCTTTTTGCCCTTCATTTGCAGTTGCTGTTGTTTTTTCTTTGGACCTTTGAGATGATTGGAGTCTCACTTCTCTACCTTTGTATTTCTGTCTTCATGTGCCTTTACAATGATCAACAGAAAATAATTTATTATTCATATCAATGCTGTTTTATTGAACTGAAAGGCAAATTTCGTACAGTGTGTGGGAGGGACGCTCTCTCTCTTTTTTTTAAAAAAAAAATATTGCCTCAATATTTATCTCTTTTCTTCTCTCTTCTCGTTCTTGTTAACTGCCATTATTATTTATTATTATATACAAAACAAGGTAAATCCTTTAAATTAAAAAGAAAAAGAAAAAGAGTGAAAAGAAGTTCTTTTTCTTAACGAAGAGAAGGAGAGTTAGAAAAGGAAAAAAAAAAAGAAAGAAAAGAAAAAAAAAGAGCATTACAGAGTTAGCATGGCAGAAGGTGTTATTCCACACGAGGAGGTACTTCAACACATTTACGCTTTTCTACGTGCCTACGGTTATAAGAATTCACTTCTCGCTCTTCAGAATGAATCCCGTGTACCGTACAATACAATAGACATTGTGGAATCTAATGAAGAGAGTCCAGATCAGAATACAGTAGTCTCTGTGAGTCCTGCTGGATTGGAATTAGCACTTCTTGAAGGTAAATGGGATGTTGTACTTGAAAAATATGTTGATGGTCTTTTACTTCCAGAAGAGGTAATGTTTGATTTATATGAACATATCTTTGAAGAACTTTTAACTCTTCATGGGTTTGTACATGCGGCACGGGCATTTTTTTCTAATTCGCCTATTTTTTCAACTATGCGTCGTTCCTCAGCAGCACGTTATGCTAGACTTCAACAACTACTAGACTCTCATAAGAGTGATACCGTATTAGATGGTATGGGAAGTGGTAGAAATGGACCTATTCCTCCACATATAAAAGAAAAACGTGAAATGTTACTTAAAGTTTTACAAGAGGCTATTACGTGGAATAGACAACCATACAATGGTATTCTTCCAGCTGCCTTGTGGAGATTGCAAAATATTAGTAGTTTTACGACTAGTGTTGGGGATCATTCTAATGATAATATAGTGCAGTCTTTAAAGCGAAAACGTACTGATAATAATAATAATAATAATAATAATAATAATAATAATAATAATAATAATAATAGTGGTAATGATAATGATAATAATGCTGAGGTAGATACTGGTGTAATCATGCCTCGTCCTCCTTCTGCTTTATTTCTACATTATCCACTTCAATGCCCTAAAAAAATTCGAGTAAAAATAAGCTTTGCTGATGCAGCAATGCCTACTTCCTGTGCTGTTACTACTCTTCCTATAGTAGAATCTGAGTGTAATAAGTATACTGCCCTTATTGTTGGTAGAACAGATGGTGTGGTAGACTTTGTGAATGGTGATACCGGTCTCCCTGTTGGAAGTTCTGTTGGACATACAGATGGTGTGTTAAGTGTGGCCCTTGATACGATAAAAGATGGATTTGCCTGGGTGGCTGTGGGCTATCGTGATGGTTGGGTGAAGATCTACAATACAGAGACAAGAAAATTAGTTCGTCGCTTTACACAAATTCATAATAGTGGTGTAACTTCACTTGTCTTTGCGGGTGCACGATGTCCTTCTCTCTCTGGACACCGATCATTAGTGGTATCAGGTTCCTTTGATGGGGCAATTCAATTACTAGACATTCGTGAAGGAAAATCAAGACGTCGTATTAACGATGCTCATCAACTTAAATATGTACTTTCTCTTTGTTTAGTGCCGAATAAAATGGAAGGGGAAGAACTCATTGTCTCTGCTGGAAATAATGGAACTCTTTGTTTTTGGTCTGTATTAAATGGTGAGTTAGAACAAGTTGGTCCAGCACGTACATTACATTCTATTCATACCTCATTAAAAGAAGAAGTACCAACTCGACTCTTATCGGTAAATGACACCACTCCATCAGAAGAGTTTGTTGTCTTTACACGTGGGAAGTCTGTGTTGGTGTTACGGGCACATTATACCGGAGATTCGGCGGAACCTGTAGTGATATCTATGTATTGTACTATTATGGCTCCACGAATACTTTTTGGTGGATGTCTGCGAGTTATTCATACTCCTGCACTTGCCGTTCCGTTGCTCTCTGTTTTTCTAACGGATCGTGAGGGAACTATTCTCTTGTATAATATAGAGATGACATGGCGAAGAGTAGATGAAGGTAATGTGCGTGGGGCTCGAGTGGAGATGCGACCAACAGATGAGACTTCTCTCATTGCGATGGAGTATGGGAAGACTGTGGAGGATTTGAATGTAGTGAATGTGATTGGAGAGTCACCTGCACTGCTCGCTTATTCACCATCCTTCTCTACAATGTACGTTCTTTCATGGAGTTAAATATATATATATATATATATATAGAAAAAAAAAACAAAGAAAGAAAGAAAAAAAAAGAGAGGGTCTCTGTATTTGTATCTGTGTCTGTGTTTTGATTGGTTTGGAGACAGAATAACAGATAAAGAGAGGGTGACTCACAAAGGAAGAAAAGGAAGAAGAAGAAAAATGACTCCTTTTTTTTCTCTGGTTGTAAGTACACTTTTTTCTGTTTTGTTCTATTCTATTTTTAATGGGTTCTTTTCATTCCTTGTTTTATTCTAGTTTCTGTTGATTTATTTATTTGGACATTTGTATTGTTTTTTCTTTTTATTTCTATAGAAAAAAAAAGTGTATTTTACGTTTGACACTTCACATAAAAGATTATTGTTATTATTTATTATGAGCGATAAGTATCTACGGGATGATAAGCAGCAGTTTATCAACGGTATTGGCACAGAACTGGCATGGGGGTGGTCCCCCGCTATTGACTTCACAGAAATTTTAGAGCAGCGGAAATGTTCTGCACATTCCAAAGAGAAAAAAGATACAGATAAGCAATCCACAACTAGTGCAGATAAGGCAGAGAAGGGCGGTAGTAATAGTGATGAAGGTGATAATAATAATAATAATAAGGATGATCCAATTGATGCGATGATTGCAGCCATACAACGAAAGATCCAAGTTGCCAATGGGGATACAGATGGAGATAATACAAATGTAGTTCGTATTCTCCTTTGTGGGGCTTGTGATATACGCCATGTATTCCGTACACTAGCGAGTTTACGTGTAAAGTCATCAACATCTACTAATAATACTACAACGTCTTCTGAGAAGAAATCTTGTAGGTATCATTTTTATATTTATGAGCCTAACCTTCGTGTACATTGTCGTCATTTATTTTTTCTACAATGGTTGTTGGATAGTTTGTTTTCTCTAGATGAATTAGAAGAACGTGTGTTAATGTTTTTAGATGCATTTGGTAATTCTATGACTCGAGATACTACAGCTGCTCATATTAGAAATGTTTCTCAACGTCTTTTGCGAGTACTTCGAAATGAAGAAGGGGAACTTGCCTCGCTTCTCTCTTTTACAGAAATGAAATCGAAAGAACGTGAATTTGTAGAAGAACAATTTGTACATTGGACACGTGATGTATCTCAGGCAAAAGTAGAAGAAACAAGATCTAAACGATTACAACAAGAGATGGCAGAACGTTATGATAATCGTGATAATATTATTGATTGGGATTTTAATTTTCACTTGCTTGATTATACCAATCTTATTAAATTTCCAGAGTATCGTACATGGCGTAATACCGGTATAGCTTTTGATACCACACTTATAAATCCTCGTCGTGGATTTACATACACTTATTCTATTCCAAATAAAACATTATGCCATTTTAACAGAAAAGGTGTTGGAAGTTTTCTTGGTGATATTAAGAATGGACCTTTCTTTGCATTTGGTGCACAAACAGCGAATACACATATTCGTGCTCGAGCTGTAGATGGTACATGTAAGTATGGAAATGGTGTGGTATCTATGCATAATGTGCGAGCCTGGCTGTATGGATTGTTAACTGGACAACTATGGCCGTGGGGAGATCACGCCTTTGCGTGGGATGATGCTGCCAATTACAATTATCTCCCACCAGGAACTCATCGGGATATCACACATCAGGCAACTTTTCCAGATGTTCGTTTTCACTTTATTGGATTAGACTTTTCTCGCTTTCTGCAGCGTATGCGAGATAAGAAGGATCGAACTTTTGATCTTGCCTTTGTGGGAACCAGTTGTACACAATTTATGACCCCCGATTTCTTTGATATTGCGATGGCCGAAGATGCCGTTGTGATTGCAGAAACGGCGAAATTTGTGGTGGATGCCCGCGATGAGGCGAAGAAGGCGTTTCTGCAGAAAATATTGGAATTGGCGAATGCCGCCCAGTGGGAAGAGAATGAAGGATTAACGGCAATATTACATAAAGATCAACCAGAGGCACCAAAGGTAGATGTCACTTCTTCACAGCATAAGGCACATAAAATATCACTAGATCGATATAAAATGCCCTATCAATTGGCTTTGACAAAAAGACAAAAAGAAAAAGATGTAAACTGACAATGGAATTCTTTTATTATTATTATTATTATTATTATTATTATTATTATTATTATTATTATTATTATTATTATTCGTGATGATGAAGATCGTTGATTTTTTTTTTTTTTGTTATACGTGTATATATATATATATATATCTTTAATTATATTATTCGCGTAAATAAAGTGCCCATGATATTGAAAAATAATTAAATATTTGGATCAATTTTTATAATTAATATTTTTTATTTATTTAATGTATGATTTTCATTTTTCTTTCTTTCTTTCGTTCCTTTTTTAAAAACTATTATTATCTTTTTCAAGCCTTTAGGTCCATCATGTTGGACTCCATAGATATCAACCCTGGTAGCAGACCCTTTGAAGGTGTCTCCAGCGCTACAAGCTGGTTTGATACAATTAACAAAGGCCGACGTACCAGCAGTAGTAATAATAACAATAATAATAATACTACTACTAGTGGTGGTGTTGGTGTTACTGCTGCTAATAGAATAAAGTCAAGTACTTCTTATGCACATGCCAATGCGGCAGCTTCTCCTATGAGACAGTCAACATCTTCTTATTCTAATATGTACGCTAATGCGATGGAACTCACACCATCCACTATTCGGCATAATGAAGATAGCACGGGATCTCCGCGGGGTATTTTAAGTACTACACAATCTCCATTACAAGAGGTACCAGAGACTTCAAACGATAAGTCCATCACCACAACTGCAACTACAACAACAACACAGTCTCATACATCTACATCACAAACAGCATCGCCACTACTTCATGGTAAAAGTAAGAATGATAACAGTACAACGAGTAGTCAAAGTCGTCTACGCTCAAGACATGATGATCTCTACGAAGATGCTATGCGAGCACAACTTGCGAAGCGTCAATGGGCTGCAGTAGAGCAGATGCGACAGTCAATGTTGGAAACAGCACGAGTGGAAAGAGATTGTCCATTTAAACCACGTCTTTCAGCTTACGCGGCGAAAATACGAAGACCAGCGGAATTATCCCCACAAAACCGTATTTATGATGAACTTATTCGAAAAGAAGAATGGCATGCGAAAAAACGTCGAGAGAATGTAATACAAGAATTACAAGGATGTACATTTCGTCCATTAACCGTAAGGGCGGCAACATTAAAGTCTTCTGCATTGGTACATGATTCGCATATATTTAGCGAACTTTATGATCATCACAAGGAACAAAAACAATTTAGAGAGGAATTACAACCCTATGTTGTGGAACAACTAGAACGACATATGTTATTTAAGAATCCTTCTAATAAAACAGTTTCAGAAGATAAAATAAATACAGTGGTGGAACGTTTGTTTTCTCGAGGTGTTGTTGTTCAAAATGAAAATGCCAAACAAAAACAAAAACGTCTCTTATCACCATCTTTCAAACCTACTGTGAATGCAGAATCAGAGCGCATCGCCGCGAGACAACGTGAATATGGTCAAGTTCCAGAAGATGTGGTGGAACGATTATTTAATCCTTCACCATTACTACAACAGAATAAATATCATAAACGTGAAGAAGAAGAAGAACGAAAGGATGTTAACTTAAAGTTATTACAATCCGAATATGATAGAACTCTTCGACTCTTACTTCAACGTGAACGTCGAAAAACATTTGTTTCTGCAAAGTTTGATATACTTTCAGATGCTATAAATGCCGAACGACGTGGTCGTGATGGACCTGAAAGAGTAAAGAATGAATATCTTGTTGAAGAAATTACAAGAGTTGCTATTCTTTTACTCTCACCAGGAGAAGTAGAAGAACTTTCTGATATTCTTGCACAAAGTAATCATACAGTCAAACTTAATAAAGAAAACTTTATGCTTCTCTGTGAAGAGGCCATAGAGGGACTTGCTGACCCGAGTACGAGTTTACTGGGTCGCCTACCACCTCCACGTTTAACAACAACAACAACAACAACAACAGGTACCGATACGGCTTTTAATACCGATATGAATACACAAAAGCCACAATATCGTTCTACTTTACGTGAGATTCCATCTCCTGAGGAACTGGAGCGACTAAAAGCTAAACGTGCGGAACGACGGCGTAAGGAGGCAGAAGAGGAGTTACAACGACGTCGCGCTATTGAAGAAGAGGAACAACAACAATGTACATTCCGTCCATCCCCACGACGAAAGATACCACATGAGTGTCGTGCTGATTTTAATGTAGAGGTGAAAACAACCAAAGCTGCGGCATTACGACGGGCGTATATTCAAAAAACATTGGAAGCAGAAGATGAGGTTTCTGCCTCTGATTTACCTCCTGTATCCAGAAAAGAACTATTTCGAACAGTGGTACTTAATCCACATGTTCAACCACGTCGATCGCAAAGTGTTGGTGGACATTCTCCTTCCACACAAGCTCATATGCATATGCACACCAAAGCGGCCCTCGCTTTACCAGTGGAGTCATCTCCTCCTGTGAAGACATCAGAACCGAAACGAAATAAATATGAAGCTATGAATCGCAGTTGTAGCAGTTCTCACGCGATGCGTAGTCATTCAAAACGGAGAGAAAACACTGTTGCTGTTGGTGCAGCTGGTGGTATTTCAGATCACAGTTCAGAAGAGGCCGCTGTGGTTTCTCCCAGTACTGCACAGCCACGTCTCTATCGCGATGTTGTTTCTGAACATGCTGCATTTGGCCGCGAGGGTGCCCTCACGGAATTTGGCCGGGAGCTTATTTTAAAGCAACTCCGGGAGTATAGACAAAGGCGTTAATTCTTTATCTTGTCATGTTTCCTTTTTTTTTTTTTTTTTCTTAAATTCTCTGCGAAAGTACAAAAACAACAACAACAACAAAAAGAATATATTACGAAGAGAACAAGGAATCTGTGCTTCAAAAAAAAAAAAAAAAGAGAGAAGAAAAACAACAACAACAATTTTCGCACAACATAGAATCATGGGACTTTTCACACTGTTCTTGTGGGATGTGACTAGTCAATATGGGGTATTGAAACTCGAAAGAAAAAGAGAAATGAAGATAGAAAAAGAGAAAAAAATTGGGTATATCAAAGCAAGAAATGTGACGATAAATCTGTGCTATTCTCTGAGATTTTTTTTTTTATGTAGGTTTTGGTCATGAGTGTTCATTATTCTGTAGTGTTTTTTTTTTTTTT